CCCCCTTTCCCCTTCCCCGAAATCAGTATAATAGAACATGTGAAACAAACTTAAAAGTTTTAAAAATGGCATACATCTTGCCTGTACACTGTCTTCAATGCCAGCATCGATGAAGAAATTATAGCTTTACTGGTATAAATGAAGTTATTGCATTCTGAAGAAGACAGGGAGGGTCTGGGTCTGCTGTAGCATTCGCAATTAGACCAAAGTTGAAAGTCTACAGTACTGTTGTCCTTCTAACCCTACTGTACGGCACTGGGACCTGAACAGTTTACCACCAAATCCATGCACGAAACTTACTCATTTCGACACGTTAATGTCTCTAGAGAATTCTTGGCATCGAGTGGCAGGACAAAATGTCAGACGTTGAAGTTCTCATTAGGGTAACCGCCGAGCGTCTGCGTTCTACGTGGAAAAAAAGATTCAATTTCGCTGGACTGGCCGTGTTGTGAGAGTGCCTGATTTCAAAATTTAAAAAGGCAGTGTTCTATTCTGAGCTATCCCCAGGAAAGTATTCATTTGGCGCATCAAAATGGGCGCTACAAAGACACCATGAAAATGCATTTGAAGGACTTCAACATAAATCAGCTCTTGACATTGGAGAGCCTTGCTCCTAACAAACCCAGCTGGAGAGCAGCAGCCACAGAGAGCAGCAAATCATATTATAGGGCTTCACGAATTAGAGATGCTAGAGCTAAGAGAGAGGCCCACAAGCTGCGTTCTTCCACCAGTGGAAATGAAGCTTTTACGTGATTGAAAGATTTTGGCAATTTTTTTTCTTTCAGAATGTTTCTCATTGGCCACAGCAGAAGCCACAGATCATCAGATCTTAATATAAACTCCTTTTTTACTTTGAAATTAAGATGCATTGGCCTTTAGATGCACTAACCATAGTCTGACATTGACTGACGAACTTATATTAGTACATGTTGTAGTAGAAGTAGTCAAAGAGCTTATTATGATACTAGGTCTACCCTCATTGAGTAGTTATACACTCATGAACTTTTGTAATGCGAAAGATAGGAAAGGTCTTTAGTCTTTAGCCAAATACATGACGTAGTAAAAAGGAGAACTTTCACAGGCAAGGTGTCCGGTGTCCGATCACGCCCCCAAAGACTTTTCTTTATTAT